GATGGTTAGGTTAATAGCTTGTTTAGAGAACCTTTTCATGATATGCTCATTTTATGGGACAGGCATTTTGGGTTTCATGAGCTGTATGTCATAATCATCAGGATTAAAACAATTAAAGACCTGAAATATTTCAGTTGGTGTGCAATGAATCTGAAATATATGAAAGTTTCATTTTTATCATTACATTATGGAAAATAATGACCTAATGGGGAGATTTTTTTTAGGTCTTTTTACCAGCGACGGGTCAGCGGACGCGCATGGCCGGTGATGATCAGCTGATCCATGACCTAATAATGACCTTTATCACAATATGCAAATTTTTTGAGAAGGACCTGTACATAAGTCAGCTCCTCTGGATGGGTTCAAAAAACAAACAAAAACAACTGTAGAAACGTTTAGTCTTTCATCCGAAAGACTTCTTCCGTCTGAGTCTTCAGCTCAGTCTCTTAAATAGCACCTTCTCAGAGTGGATCAACCAGTTTTGCCTCTGACAACCAGAACCAGCTGATCACATGATCAAGGAGGACCATCAGCCTAACAGTGGATCATTAGCACCTGATGGCTGCTTGCTAGTTGTATAACAGTACATTAAAATCACATTTCGGTTCGGTTCAGTTTCAAGAAGGGCTTGGTTCTTTTAATTTTCAATACAAAAAAGGCCAAAATAAAGACATAGAAAATGTTTATTTTGAAAATATGCCAAGTAAAAAATTGCATTTGTATAAAAAAAAATAAAGTCCTTGAAGATGTAGAAGACTCAGCTGCTCAGCTCTCGTTGTCATTCTCGGACTGCAAACACAAAGAGGTAAAAAAAAAAAATTGAGTTAATAAGATTATAATTTTAAATTAAAAAAGTTAATTAGATCACAATAATACAATAACATTACCTCCACTTGCATGGTCATCATTTCCGTTATGAGGTGGTTGATTGTGGACTTCAGAAGGAACAAACACACCTGCACCCCCTGAACATGAGAGGATCTGTGGTGGAAGTGGTCTCCAGCTACAAGTACTTGGGTGTACACATGAATGACAACCTCAGCTGGAGCAACAACACCACCAGCCTGATGAAGAAAGATCATCAGAGACTCTACTTCCTCAGACGGCTGAGACGAGCTGGTCTGGAAGCTCAGTCCTCACCTCCTTCTACAGGTGTGCAGTGGAGAGCATCCTGTGCTCCAGCATCAATGTGTGGCATGGAGGCTGCACAGCTGCAGAAAGAAAAGCTTTGCAGAGAGTGGTGAAGGCTGCACAGAAGATGTTGGAGTCAGTCTCCCCACCATCACAGACATCTACACCTCCAGATGCAGGAAGAGGGCCACCTGCATCATGAAGGACCACACTCACCCAGCACACACACTTTTTGCCCCGCTCCCCTCAGGAAGGAGGTTGAGGAGCATTAAGTGTAGAACCACTAGACTGAGGAACAGCTTCTACCCTGAGGCTGTTAGACTCATGAATCTCTAACCAGAATAATCACTGTGAAAAACCATATCATGTTGCTGCTGATCTGTTTCATGTTGCTGCTGATCTGTTTCAATGTTGATGTGTTCATGCGTGCACATCTGCTCACAGACTCATGTTCATGTTTGTGCTGATGTTCAATGTTTTATGTTATGAGTGCTTAGTGTATATTTAGTTGATGTTTTTCTTAGTTCATATCTTAGATGTTATTACTGTTTTTCTTATACATTTTATTGTTGGATGTAACTGGGACCCTGCGTACATAATTTCGCTCCACCACATGTACCACATGAGGTGCGAATGACAATAAAGAAACTCTGACTCT